CATACAATTATAATTGTTCCGCCTCTTGCCTTATGATTGTTGCAACCTCAAGTATATTCTCTACGAACTATAGCATACCACATTAGGATTATGTCCTAAATAAAGTGTCTTCCTGCTATCAGTTCTTTATCCTATGCTGATCTTTGAGGTTGGATTGGCATATGACATTATATTCAAATCTTATAATATAAACTATTGTGTTTAACAAACATTAATTTACTTACTATCTCATATAATAACCAGTTTTTTTTAAAGATAATTTGATTTTCTGCATCAAAAAAAAGTTGTTTACATGGAATTAAGATAGCAGGAATTGATAAATACTTACAAGTTATTTTATTTAAAATAAGAAAAAAATGTTAATTTGTATACCACTATTTATAAATATTAGTCAATTCAGATAAAATTATTTCATTTAAATAACTGTTGATTTCAGTTCTATTGTTAACATTATTATTATTATTTATATTGAATATTTTTTTTATAAATGAGGAGTGGCAGTTTCTTTATAATACATTTCTAATTCTTCAACAATAATTGTATTTTTTCAAATTTTAAATTCAGTATGCAATTTATTAATTGCTTCTTTTTGTATTTCTTTAGGTCATGCATTTATTAATTTTAACTGTAGATCTAGTAAGGTAGCTATTAGTTTAATATCTTTTGAATTTTGCCAATAGGGCCATAAAGAATTATAGATATTTTCTTGAAGCTTTGAAATTATTATTTTAGGTAAAAATGATTCTTCTATATCATTTTCAAAATTTTTATCACTAAAATCTTTATCTAATCTTATCTAGAATGAAGTAAATTAAAATTTTATAATTTTATATGAATTGTTAAATTTAAATTATTAATAATATATGATACTTTTATAAATTTACTTACTATTATCAAAGTCATTATTAGTAAATTTATCAAATTCACTATTAGCAAATTTAAACTTTAATGCTTTAATATTTGAATTGACAACTGAAAGAATAACATATTGGATTCCACTAAAGTAAATTATTAATTCATCAAATAGTCTAAATATATCTATTAATTTATTTAATAACTGCCATTTATAGTCTTTAAGCATATAATAATTTGGTTTAGCAGAATCTTCTTTAATGCTATCTTTATTTTGTAAAAATAAAGTTGCAGAAAGCTACTCAATTGCTGGACAAAATTTTAAAAGTCTTTTTCAAGATTGATAAGAAAAAATCTAACAGGTCATCATGTTTTCAATGGTATACAGAATAAATATTTTTTTCATATTTTTATCTTATTGCTTTTTTCTATCTCAGGTAAATTTTTTAATATATCTTTGGAATTATAAATTTGAATAAGTCTTGTATTAATTTTGCTATGATTTGCCAAATCAATTTGTGCTTAATTAAGATATTGACATTGTTTTGAAGATCGAAAGAATTTAATTGGTTTTCAAATTCATCTAGTATATAAACTTACAATTTTTAAAGCCTAAACAACTGTGGAGTGAAGTGTATGTGCAGCACAAGATAGGTATTTTATATCATCCCAAATTCTAATTACTTTTTTTATATTTGCCCAATTATTAGTTATTATACAAAAGATTTTTCCAGTTAATTTAAACTTTTCAACTTTAGTATTTAAATACTTTTTGATTCATTTTTTAGCATATGGGTATTCAATTATTTCAATAGCCAGCAATATATCATATACTTCAAAACTAAATGTTAACCAGTAAAGGGTTACACCAATATATTTATTATTAGTGCAGAATGTTCACAAGTCTATAGTTATAGAGACTGTTTCACAAGTGATAGTAAATAATTTTTTAAGTTTTACAATATCTTTTTGATAAGCAATATTGATTTCTTTTCTAATACATTTGTAACTTGATAGTTTAAGTACAAAATCAACTATTACATTATTTTTTGATACCCTTTCCAAATACAATATTAAATGGTAAAGAATTAATAATTAATGTAAGGTCTATCCAAACTCTTCTCCACTACCAAGGTTTTTAAGACTAAGATACAATAATTTGGTTTGAGTTTCTTTCTTAAACTCTATAAAACAAACTCACAATTTATCAATACATATTCATAGTTAAACAACTATTCAAACTGTCACTTAGTTTCTGTTGCAGAAATTTTCTCTTTGTTTTTAATTTGGTCTTTCCTTTATATATATGTTAATATCATAATAAAATTATAATAACTATAATTATTCTAACTATTCTAACTATTTCTACTATAATAATTATAATTGCTATAATAAAAAAAAAAACATATAACTAAGAAAAAACATATAAGAAATAAATCAACTATAATAAAGATATCTTAAATTTTAGAGATTTGGAATTATTATAACATTAGTCCATGTAATAATACAAATCTTCTCTCACATTAACCATTTGGTTGTAACTTATCTTAATCCTAATTGTTTAGACATACTATATGATATTACTTTTCTAATTATTTCATTCAAATTTAATTAACGTTTTTCATTCAAACTTTCATCCAATTCTAAAATACTATATATTAATTATAGATATGATTTCATATTTTTAGTTTCTCCATCATGCTTATAACATTTGTTGCATTCATTTTTCTTATCTTTTTGAGATATGATTATTTTATATACAATATATTCACTCTCTTCTTCAAAGTACTTCCAATTATGACTTGATTTTCTTTGGAATTAATTGAATTAGAAAGATTAATTTGAATTCCTTTTGTATTTGGTTCTTTTGCAAGCTTCTCTATAGATTTTCTTCTGGTTATATTAGTAAAATATTTGATATTCTCTTGAATATTGCCATCAAAGATATAGTCAATATCAAAGATACTACTATTCATGTTCTTAATAACAAAATAATTTAGGTTTTTAATAGAAACATAATAGAGATATTACAAGATAGAAATGGACTGCTTTATATTGTTAAACCTAAAAGTTTAATTTTTTTGAAATAGGAAATTTTATACCCAACATCAATTTAATACATTAATTCACTAATAATAAACCTATAATAGAAGTCAAATATGTCTTTTCCAAATATAATTAAATTCAAGAAATTACTATAAGAATACAAAACTTATAACAATATTTTATAATTATTTAGAATACAAGAAGAAACTTGTCAACACCTGAAATATTCTTATCAAAGAAGACTCAATGAGAATTAATGATATAAAATAGTCACTTCAATAAATAAAATAAAATAAAATAGTAGAAAAACCAATAAATCTTCTTCTCAATACAACAGTTTAAGATATTAAGAATATTCTTACTCAATGCAAAAGTTACATATATTATATTCTTAAATTTGCAAACAAAAAATAAAAATTCAAAAAATTTGTAGTTATTAGTTTCAAAACATAAGATGAAGACGACATATTAACAATAGTTTAAATACAATATACTTTAGTAGAAACCATATTTTTTTTTACCCCAATCTTAACAAAGCTAAATGTGATATACAATATAACTTCTTATCTGACCAAAAATTGCCTTATTAAGAAAAAACATATCCAATGAAATACATATAACAAAAACCAAGCAATCAAGTTTAAAAACCTATATACAAATTTAAATAAAAAAAAAACATTAATAATTTATAATATTAATAAACTAAGACTATTCAAAAATTAAGAGCAGGAATATATGCAGAAGAAGTCTTAAAAGAGAATTTAACAATTCTCAAAGACATTATTAACATTTTTTAAGAAATTCAACAACAACTGAATACTATTAAATATCAAGTTGCAAAACTAATAAGTATATTATCAACTTAGAATACTATAATAACAAATACTATAAAACAATAGACAACAAACAAACATCAATTTTATAAAACTCATTATTTACATATCAATTCAACAATATATAATCCATATCTAAAGATGCTTTAAAGACCTTAAAAATATTCAAATATAACTTTTTTTCTTTATCAATGAAATGCAAAAAAAAATAAATCAAATTTTTTTTACAATGAATAAACTTTCTATCATAGACTTTAACAAAAAATAATACTGATAAACAATAATTATAGATAACTTATATAGTAATTATAATAATAACAATAAACAATTAAATATAGACTTAGCAGACAGTTAACAAACTGACAACATTAATAATCTTTTATTTACAACACAACAACTCAAAACAAACTTTATATGGTCAGACTCAAAATCCAATTATAACAATAAGAGATAACCATATACTGTATCAAATTATAATAACAGACATAACCAGAAACAAAATCTCTTTATATAACTACCATTAGAAAACATAAACTTCTTCATATTATACTCACAACACATATATTACAATTATATCTACTATTTATTCAAACATTAATGACAAATCCTCACCACAAACATTAAACAACTTAAAACTAATACAAATAAACGTCAGCTATAGATAGAACAGATTAATAAAAAACAAGCAGATATTATTATACTAACAGAAACAAATCTCAATAACAAAAAAAGAAATACATTACTTTTCAAACTATAAAGTTATATAAAGCATAACAAGTATATAAACTAAAGAATTTAAAGTAATATTTATTCTCAAAAAACTACTTGCATATCTTATTTACAAAAAACATATCTGAAAGGACAGAATTACCCCAGTCAACCTATACTTCAAATACAAATACAAACTCATAATTATTATAATCTATCTTTTATTAAAAATACATGAGTCACACAATAAATATATATTGAAGCTATCAGATGAATTAATGAAGCCAAGACTAGAAAACTTCAATTCTGTTATAAACCCTAGTATCAACATATCAAACTTGATCCACTCAAAAAGAAACCAATACTTACTTATAAATAAACAGATAAGATAGCTTCTAATCAATTAATTTATAAACATATATTGCAATCTGCATTTCTACAGTACACATTATATATAAAATAACTTTAATAAAATTACAAGTAAAATTGATTAAATTTGGATCTCAACATCCTTACTTTGACTAATAATGAAGGTATCAATTATAGTACAAGATAAAGAAATTATAAAAATAGATCATGATATTTCAAAATACACTTTTTAATACTAAAACATATAATTCTTAACAAACAATAGAATCAAATTCAAGTTTAACAATTGTTATAAATGGTACAATATCTCTTTAGAGAAATGAAAAGAATTTAATAACAATTTCCTTTTCCAACTACAAATACATAGTTCAAAACAACTCCAACAGAAAATTAGATTAAGAAGAAGTAGAATCTTTTAAGAAATACAATTTTATAAATAATTGCTAAATACATAAAAAAATATAAGAAGAAAAATAAATTATCCAAAACATTTAATTCTTTGATATATATCCTATGCAAACCATCAAAATTTAAATTCTTATATCAGAAAATATATTTAAAGACAAAATAATTAAAATAATAACAAAACTTGAAAACCTTCACTTATTCACAATAGAATTTCCAATAAAATTACACAATTCAACAAATGTTACTATATAAATCCAAGCTCTTAAATAAAATTTCAACAAAATCTGTAAAAATAAATAAATAGAAGCAATAAAAGAAAAAATATAGAGAAGACAAGTACACTTCATTACAAACAAGAAACAAATTATTAAAAAACTTTTAAATAACTTCAAAAAACATATCTTTTTAAACAAATTAATTATCCATAATCCAGAAAAAAATATAATTACAGACTTAAATAAAATCAAAAAGGCAGTTAACAAACATTATTAAAAATAGATCAGCAAATGCAATATAAAAGAAATCAACAATCCCAAATAGAACAAAAAGTACTTACCAAAACAAAATATCAAAAATGAATAGTATATAACAACAATAATTCTTATTACAATTAAAGAAATCCAAAGTATAGTCAAATATTATACAACCAAAACAGTATCAGATCCAACAGAAATCCTATATATTGTTTTTAAAAAACTAACTAAAGAATTACTTTGTTATATTACAGATCTCTTTAATAATATCCTTACATAAGGACAAGTTTTCAACAAGTGAAAAATAAAAAATATACTGTATATCCTATCTCCAAATTAAAAAAAAATTTAAGTAATTCAGTTACATTAATTTTTAGGGTTAGCTCTTGATAAAAGAAATTTTGATTATTATGATATTTAGCTATATTATATAATCAAAATTAATTTAATTACTAAATATTAAAAAATTTATACTACAGTATATTATAAAAGATTTTAACTATTGTATACAACAATTTTTTAAATATCTAGTGATTAAATTTGACTAAAATTTTTATAAATAGTATATATTTAGTCGTTTTAATAAATATGCAAATTTAAATTAATTTTGATTATAGGGTATTAAAAAATTAAAAAATTCTTTTTTAAAATTAAGATTTTTAACGTTTATTCGAAAACCCTGCGTTTTAAATTTTCTTTTATTAAATACTGCAAACCGGGGCCTGGAAAAATAGATGATCATAACTAAAATAATAATTGTCGATTTATCGAACTTGATGCCCTTCGATCGCTTAAAAATACTGGCTATAGAATGTTTCTTTTATCGAGAGTTGACCGTAATGCAGTTTGCGATTTTTTTACAAAGTGACAATCAGTAATAACGTCACATATATATATTTCTCATAATCAGGAAATTCATCATAAATTTGCTACACGGTATGCCGCACAATGCCGTAGGTGTGTTGCAAGGAGAACAGCCACCCTGTCACTTATTATTGCTAATGAAAAAAAATTGTATTTCATGCATTAAATTAATGCTGAGTAATGATTGTGCTTGCGTACAGAGACAGAATGCATACAGTATATATTTGTTGGAAATACAGTAGAAAGAGCAGTTTCAGCACTTATCAATATGCTCCGTAAAATATGTTCTATGTTCATACTGTTATTCTTTATTTTGGAAACTTTTGGTTTTTCACCACTTCTTAGAAGATTTCCAACACAAAACGCAATTGGAAAAAGAATATATTATATTGGTGGCTGGGACGGAACAGTTGATTTCAACGATATGTTTTTTTTAGATCTATCAGAATCATTTAACACTAACAATCCGCCGTGGGTACCATTAACGGGAGCGGTCGTTCCATATTACCCTGTGTACTCTACCTCAGTTGTTAGTCCGTTTGATAATTCTACTATCTATTTGATTGGTGGATATACAGTAGATTCCTATAATACAACGGTATATACATTCGACTCTAATAAGGCAGTATGGAACGCACTTCACACGAGTGGTAATGGACCAATAAAAAGACAGGAAATGAACGCCGTAATAGATAGTACGGGGAACGTGTATATTTTCGGTGGATCTATATTATATACTTTAACTTCTTTTGATGATTTTAATGATATAAATATTTTCAATATTAATACAAATACTTGGAAAAATATTCAGCCATCTTCTGACACTCCATATCCTCGAATAGATTATACTGCCACGCTCTTAGAAAATGGCGTGATTGTTTATATAGGAGGAAGGGAGTTTCTCAGTAATCAAACCCAAGTATTGGTTTCTATGAGCAAAGTAACAACTTCAACTTAAACATTCTCTTACTGGACATTAAAGATTATATGCTAATATCTTCTATTGAATTAGCTTCAGCTCTATGACACTAAACTTTCAACTTGGTCTTTAATGGTAAGCATTGTAAACAGTATCATATAACGCCGACTAAAGCACCCAGTGTCTTTTACAATTCTTATGGAGAATATAGTACCTGCATAATTACTATTTTTACAGAAATAGTTAAGTTTTGCATACATGTGAGGATACTTTGGTCAGCGCGTATAAGGTAATATGTAATGTATTCCATTATACAGTATTAAGTTTTTGTCATATAATTTACAGATAGCTACAGG